AGACTTCAACAATGCACTTCATCACCTAGGGGGGGAAACAACAGCAGAAAGGCAGGGATTAAACTTAGATGGTTCCAAGTTTACTCAGTGTAAATTCTCCCCCCCACACACACTTATCTGGGAGTATTTTCACAATCTCAGCTGGATAACTCTGATGCCAGTGAGACTCAATTCAGATGCCATGAACAAACCTCCATCTATTGTAAAAGGACACAATCCTGGTTAGTTGTCCAGCCTATGTGTTCCCTTCCTTCTCCCCTTATGCGGCTCGCAGAGAATGAAAATCTCTGAAATCTTAAACTCATTCCAAATGGTTGCCAGATCTGAATCAAAACACTTCCATTAACTGTGTCCTGCTTTTCACCCAAGCGGCTCCATCCCACCCAACTGATTTCTAAATTTTCTCAAACCCAAACTACAGTTTTATATTTCCATTGGAAGTGATTGTGAGGCCACTGACCCTAGTTGGAGAGTTCAGCAAATGATTTATCATCATTCCAGTTCTCTTTCTGCCTTCTTGGAGTCAGTAGAGACGACAGCTACACAAAATGACAAAGCACTAAAAAAGTCCCCCAATATCCTTCTTGCAAGCCTTTTCTGCAGGGGGTTCAGAGATGGTTCCAGGTTTTGTGGGGAGCTAGACGGAGACTGCCCAGGGGTCCCTTTATGCCCACCAACCCACATCCCCCTCCACCTGCCTGTGTCCTTTCTCCTCCCATTGTGAGCTTCCCCACCACCTGTGGTCACAGCTGCCCACCTCACAAGCACATCCATTTTCTGATGGTACCACGCAATACGTATGTCTGGGAGTGCCACTGCTGTGACTATCCAGAGTGCTACAGCTGTACACCTTCAGCACATCCTTCCCTGGCAGAGCTGGGCAGCATGTGCAGCCAAAAGCATGGGCGACAGAGCCCTTGCAAGCACGCAGGAGAAGGGCAGGTATACAGGTAACAGGAGGCGTGCAGGTAGAGGGTTGGCAACAGTGGGTCCTGCCAGAAACCTCACCTCAGGGTGGCTGGGTTGCCATTCTCCAGGTGGGGCCTGGAGATTTCCTGGGATTAAAATTTCCAGTTTACAGAGATCAGTGCTCCTGGGGAAAACAGCTGCTTTGGAGGGTGGACTCTCCTGGTACTATGGCAGTGTATCCCACGGAGGTCCCTCACTTTCCCAGATGCCACGTCCCAAATCTCCAGGAATTTCCTAACCAAAAATTGGCCATCATAATGATGACACCAGGCCCGGATGGGTTATTCACCAAACGTTTATCAAATATATGTGATACCATCACACAGAGAGGTTGCTACATACGTTGGGGTTCCTGGAAAATGTGAGTGAAGTGCCTTTTAAAAATTCACTCATAATTCTGCATTATAATCCCTTCTAAAAATGGTTTTCTGGTTTATTCTGAACAAAATTACTTTAAAAGTCTTCAGGGCAGTGTTAAGACAAGAATCAACAAAAGTAAAAACAGCAATACAATCTGTGGATACCAATTCAGTTTTCAATAGTAGTCAAGTGTCAAAAGGTAATGGCTTAGATTTAGACTAAATTTTCCACTGACACAAAACACTTTTGTCAGGGGAACAGAACATTTCCTATCTCCTGTTGTATTTGCAGTCCACTGATCTCCTCAAGTACTACTACTACTACTACTACTAGTAGTAGTAGTAGTAGTAGTAGTAGTAGTAGTAGTAGTAGTAGTAGTAGTAGTAGTAGTAGTTTATTACGGTCTTTAGACCAGCATACATTTTAGTCGAACATACAATACAACAACAACAACAATAATATTATTGTAATAAAAAGTTTTTGAATTATCTCCTCAAAATTCTCCTCCGATAGCCATCAGCCTAACCTCTGGTGGGTAGGCCAATCAAAGAAGGACCTCAAAAGAAAATCTTGATTTCCAGGCAGGTTCCTGCAGGAGGAAGGCCAGTTCTCCACCCGAGCACCTGATCAGAAGGATATTGGCACACTGCTGGGCTGCATTTGCTCCCAGCCAATGGAAACCCAGGAGAAGGTGATAGTCATCACCTCTCACATCCATGCCGCTGCCAACCTGGTTTAAGGAGTGCCCCTAAGGTATGGATTGCTCCCAACCAGTGGCCCAGCAGGAGGAAATGCCTTGCCAACCACACCTGTGATTACTTCCAAGGGCACATCCCAGTCTATAACTTGGCCACTGTACTTTGAACCAGTTGACCTTCCTACCTCTTTTCAAGGTCAGCTCCACATATGACCCCTTGCAATAGGGTTGCCAACTCCAGCATGGGAAATTCCTGATGATTTCAGGGCAATGCCTTGGGCTAATGGAATTTGGAGGGGAGGGGAAGTAGATCAGTGGGGATGTGATTCCATTGAGTTCACCTTCCAAAGCTGCCATTTCCTCCAGGGCAACTGGAGATCAGTTGATATTCTGGAAGAACTACCACCTGATCCTTTTTTGTTTTATATATTTTAAATAAATAAATGCATTCCAGGTTTCAGTGCCTCTCACAAACATGAGATGTTGCTGTATCTTGGAGGAGGAAGAAGATGAAAAAGAGTTGATTTTTATATCTTGCTTTTCTCTACCCTAAAGGAGTCTCAAAGCAACTCACAATCACCTTCCCTTCCACTCCCCACAACAGACACCCTGCGAGGTAGGAGGGGCTGAGAGAGCTCTGAGAGAACGTTCCCTCTAAGCTGTAGAGTCTTGTGAGCAAAAATTCTACTTTGTGATCTGCTGGCATTAAAGTTGTGAGCGAGCAATTTGGCTACTGCATAAATTAGTTTGCTCTGGAGCCAACCTTCCTGAGCTAAGACAAAAATGTGTGAGCCAGAGGCTAAAAAACTGTGAGCTAGCTCACACTAACTCAGCTTAGAGGGAACACTGGAGAACTGCTCTTGATAGAACAGTTGAGAGAGAAGTGACTGGCCCAAGGTCACCCAGGAGGCTTCACATCTAGGATTGGGGAACCAAACCCGTTTATTCCAGATTAGAGTCTTAACCACTACACCATGCTGGCTCACCTATACAATCATGCATATGGTTTTTTTTAAAAAAATACAGCCTTTATATTGACACATTTTTACTCTGCATTTCCTCCAAGGAGCTCAAGGTTGCATACATGGTTCTAGCTTTTTTTTTCATTTTAGCTTTACAACTATCCAGTGAGGTAGGTTAGAGAGAGAATGACTGGCCCAAGGACATTCAGCATTCTTTATGGTTGAATGGGGGGGGGTGTCCCTCAAAGTTCTGGTCAAGACGCTAACCACATTGCCTCCCTTATTTTGTTTAACTCAAGTTCATCCTCTTGAAATAAATCACCATCTTTGTCATTGGAATAAACATTCCCAACTATTACAGTCCTGATTTTCCATTAGGGTTTCAGAGACAGTGAAAAGTGACCCACATTGTTGGAGCTGTTCCATTATTTCATTTTTAATGCTCTGGTTCTCTGTTTCAGAGAGCTATTTCCTGTGTAGGATCAAATGTTTCCTGTACCTTTTATTCTGTAAGCTTATAAAAGGTTTCTTTCTGTACAAAATGTGAATACCACAAGTGAACCAAACACTTCCCTCTGAAACCCTCATGATGGGTTATGTGATATTTTTCTTACTCCTGTACGAATTTCAATAAATTGTAGACCTATTGCCAGGTCAAGTATTCAGTGACTCTTTGGGGACCAGATGCTGTTCCATACTTGTTTGACTAAAGTACAGATAACGGGTTTGATCCATTGGCAAACTCAATCAGCAATTGCCATGGATTCCCTCCCTCCCACTGTAGCACCCCCATGTTATTTTTCAGGGCTCCCTAACCCCCAGGAGAAGCCCTTTATGGAGATCAGTGGACTACAGTGAGAGAAGGGAAGCCGGAAAGTTCCATTCCACTGATGGGAAATTTAGTACAGATCCAACCCATTATTTTTATCAGTTTGGTAAATGTGACTTGGGAGATCCTACCAGTAGCCTCATTTGCTATCAGCAATAATCTTGAGGGTTGTACAGATTTCTCATATTTTTAATTTCATTTCCACCATGCCTTTTGATACAAAAGGATCTTTGTTCTTTGAGTCTTTTAGCTGTCTAAACCTTTTTTAAAAAAAACCCATACTTTAGCCTTTTCTCATAGCACATCAAGTTTTCCCAAAGTTAAATGAAAATTGCAGTTCACATTATAATTTATCAGTCATTCATGTGAACTATTAATATTGTTGCATTGCATGGTAATATTTAATATCTGGTCTTGCAGTTTATGCACAAGCCAGTTTATTTAGATTTTTACAGGAAGCATTATGATTAATTCATATTGGTCTTCTATCAAAGAAGCAAGTATACAAATCTTGGGGGCAGGGGGAACCTCTGCATATCACAGAAAACTATTCCTTCCTACATACCAGACACTGTTTAATAATCAACACTATATTGATTTCCAGTTGCCAGAGTTCCTTATTCAAGTGCTGCCCAGATGTTGGCAATTTGTAAGTGGCTAATCCTTTTCATCACTGTAGACAAATTGCTTTTACCGCATTAATTGTGTAGATTAAAGACAATTTGGAATTATCATCAAATGGGAAAGTAAACTCATTTCTGCTGTTTAAAGGCTGAGGATGGTGAGGCTGTGATTCAGTAGCTGAGCATTTGTTTCCATGCAAGGGACCCAGGTTCAATCCCCGTATACTTTCACTGCCCATGTATTTTAAGAAGTGCAACAAAGTGCAAGCAGCAGTAAATCGCCTCTGGGGGATAGTGCTGCAGAATTGATCTATTTTTTTTTTTAAAAAAGATAAGCTTCTTCCTAAAAAGAAGTTACAAGGGTGCACTTTGTGGAGAAGCTCATTCCCCTGTTCTTGGAGCCGCCACAGAAAAGACCATGTTCCTAACCACACTTAATTTCAACTTCCTGACAGAGAGATCTGTCTTCCAGTCACAGTGGGAGAGGTGGTCTCATTTTAGAGATATGCTTCA